AATCCCTAGTGATAAGTTACTACTGAATTAACACAGAGGACGAGAGTAGAGCTGCAGATAATAGAAAATCATGGCCCAGCGCAGCGGCTCACATCTGCAATCCCAGCACTTTGGAGTCAAGGCAGGCAGATCACTTGAGGTCAGGAGTTTGAGACCAGCCTGGCCAACATGGTGAAACCCTGTCTCCACTAAAAATACAAATATTAGCTAGGCATGGTGGCACATGCCTGTAATCCCAGCTACTTGGGAGGCTGAGGCAGGAGAATCCCTTGAACCTGGGAGGCGAAGTTGCAGTGAGCCGAGATCGCGCCATTGCCACTCCTATCTAGGCGACAGAATGAGGCTCTGTCTCAAAAAAAAAAAGAAAGAAAGAAAGAAAAGAAAGTCAGAGGTGCTACGGATGTTCACAACTGTTTAGCACAACTGCTTTCATTTTTACAGATGAAGAAACTAAAGACCCAAAGATGTAAAATGATATATACAAACAGGCTCTGTCAACCTAAGCCATCAATTGTCTGCTATGAATAACTTTTGCTTCTGAAACACTTTACTTGGTGCTTATATGAAATCACAGAAAGGAATAACAATCATCGTAAGATACGCCCTTTCATCTTAAACTTAATGAAATCCTAAATGTATGAATGTAAATGTACTAATATGTTTCCAGTATGTAGAACATGGCCTGGCATAGCATCATCATACATTGTCGATGTAATACATAACATGATATGTTGTTTATGCAAATACAATAGATTACTTTATAAAATGCACAAGTGGGCTGGGCGCAGTGGCTGAAGTCTGTAATCCTAGCACTTTGGGAGGCGGAGAAGGGTGAATCGCCTGAGGTCAGGAATTTGAGACCAGCCTGGCCAACATGGTGAAACCCTGTCTCTACTAAAAATACAAAACTTAGCTGGGTGTGGTGATGGGATCCTGTAATCCCAGCTACTTGGGAGGCTGAGACAGGAGAATCACTTGAACCTGGGAGGTGGAGGTTGCAGTGAGTCAAGACCATGCCATTGGACTCTAGCCTGGGTGACGAGAGTGAAACTCTGTCTCAGAAAATAAATAAAAATAAAATAAAATAAAATGCACAAATGTTCCCCTGCATCATGTTGCCATACCACTAGACAAGATTATTCTGATAAATGTTTGCTAGATCACACTTTAAATAGAAATAAAATTCATCATTCAATTTCTATGGAAGAAAGCAGAAATACATCAAACTTTTAAAAACCTTTCTTGGAATATAGGAAAGACCATCACATACTTACCTCTACCGACCCGACATGTGTAGCAACCATCTCTAACAGACGTTGTAAGTTATTTCCCACTTTTCGTCTTTCTTCAGTCGTAGTTTGCACAACTAGTTGGTATCTGCAGAACAAAAACTCTTGTTTAAGTTGTCCAGGAAAAAAATGAATACATCAGTTCTAGTTAGCTCACTTCCCATTTCCACATTCAATAAAACCAAACTGTGATTGATTTGTGTGCTGCATGCTATATGCATAATCTGTAGAGGTCCTACTATCAATCATTAAGAGAGAAATATAAACATTTTCAAAGATTCTTTGCAAGCAACAAAACAAAAGACCGCCAAAACTTCATGTTTTAACGTCTAAAGCTTTGGAGCGAAGGGTTGTAACTGAGTCTCCAAAGGGATTGTAAACTCAAATGCTTTCTGGACAAGACAAAACTTTGCAAATGGGGGAGTAGAAGTCTTACTTGTAGGAATTCAAATTCAAATTAAAACCAATAAAATTGCAGGCCAAATAAATCTCAACTGAGTTTTCTACCCTTGGCCTACAAATAAAGAAGTGAAGAGAAATGACTTTTACAAGGCTTGTACTTGCAGTCTCAAAGTAGGAAATTTTTCAGTTATTTGACGGCAACTTAAGACTTAAAAAATGCATATTTTACATAAATGTACACAAAGCCTATGGATTAACTGTTCAGTATATTGATTTTATATAAGTTGCACAAGAGCATTATATACACAGAGACAGAATATTATTTAAAGAAAGGATGCCACTGTTTGTTGTTGTAATTATTATATAGTGTGGCTAAAACTTTTCCTATGTAAGTTTCAAAAATTGTAAGGAAACTGAGAAGGAGGAGATCCTGACAATGTACAATTTGATTATACAGTACTTCTAAGAAATACAATAAAATATATAGGCAGTTCTGTTATGTTTGTTTGGAAATATGAGCATAATCTGGCAAATTTCATGTTTGCTTATGCCAATTTCTTCCCTGAGAAATACTTGGTGAATGCAGAAAACTGCACCCAGCTAAATCCAGATGCAAAGGAACACACAAACGTAAGCACACACATCAAATGTACACTAGCCACTCAGGGCACTGCATATGTAATGAGCCACATGCATCCACTACTGATGTTGCAATTTCCATCCCACTTCAGATAACCCACTTTCTACCCTTTACAGTAACTCAGTCTGCCGCCTCCTGAATGCCCGTTTCTCAAATCAAACTAGAGGTCTTTTTAATACGAAGGGTCCCATATTGATCGTAGCATTATGTATTTCTTAACCATTAAATATGTGTATCATTGTGCTAACATTTTTGTTTGATTCTTATCTTTTGTTTATATGTGTCACCGATGGAGTTTTAAATTTTTTTCTAGAGACAGAGTCTTGCTATGTTGCCCAGGATAGCCTTGAACTTCTATGCTCAAGTGATTCTCCTGTCTGGGCCTCGCGAGTAGCTGGGACTACAGGTGTGTGCCACTGAGCCTGACTACTGATGAAAGTTTTTAATGCTATGCCTCAATATCAGTTTTCCCATTGGTCCTGTGATTTTTATGGCATGATTTTTGCATAGCATGGTAACTACTTAGAAGGCACATGCTGTGTTATAGTAGACTGACTATAATTTATAGTATAATTACATTTTATTATATAATATACATAATTTCTAGGAAATAAAAACATGAGCTCAGTGGAGTTTATTAAAGCTTAGTGGAATTTTATTAAAATTCACTAACAAATAGCCAAATTTATTTGAATTGATGTAAAATATTTTATGTTTTTTTCAGGGATTAAAAGCCATTTATTAACTAGATCTAAAGATTAATGATTTCTTGGTAGACAGTAACTGTAATACTAACAGAATGTATCTGTTGATAGGGAAAGCTCTCAGGTTGTAAGTAGTTGTACTTAAGTTCTATATACCATTCTTTCCATCCTAAATACCTGTATACTATAAATTAAAGCAAATAAAAATAGATAGAATTTTACAGAACTGTTAAATTAATAATCTGAAAAGAAAGGTATAAATCTTGGTGATATAAACTTACTCCCGCTGAACAGCATCTAATTCATTCATAGCTTCACTGAGCCCCTGGTTAACAGTACTTTCTAGCAAGTGCTTGTGTTTCTCCAAGGACTCAAGCTCACTGGCACATTTTTCATCCTCTTCCTCTGCTTCCTATCAGGATAAAGTCATGGTTATAGGTTTCTTGATATTCACATTCTGTATACTCTAGGTGGATTTAAAACAATTATAAAAAGCACTTAAGTAAAATCAGGTTGCATCATTTGTATTCTCAAGATGCTTACTGTTTTACATGCAAGAGACTTTAAAGCGCTCCTTTGGGAATTCTGTATTATAAAAACAAATGCGGCTGGGCGTGGTGGCTCATGCCCGTCATCCCAGCACTTTGGGAGGTCGAGGTGGGAAGAGCACTTGAGGTCAAGAGTTTGAGACCAGCCTGGCCAGCAGGGTGAGACCCCCATCTCTACTAAAAATACAAAAATTAGTTGGGCATGGTGGCATGCGCCTGTAATCCCAGTTACTCAGGAGGCTGAGGCATGAGAATCGCTTGAACCCAGGAGATGGAGGTTGCAGTGAGCTCAGACTGTGCCATTGCATTCCAGCCTGGGCGACAGAGAGAGACACTGTCTCAAAAAAAAAAAAAGCGATTTTATTATTTTTTATTTTGAAAATATTTATTAAAATTTAAAATATATATAACCTTTAACTCAATGGTTCTGCTTCAGAAATTTATCAAAGGGAAGGAATGGAAAAATACATAAAGATATACAAAGATATTCACAGCAACATTATTTGTCAGTTGAAAATTTAGGGAAAAAATTAATAAGGGGCTAGCTAAGTAAGTTATATATATACTTATGTCTATATGTAAAATAAAAACACAATAGAAGGATTGCTCTCTCTACATTTATATGAAAAGATATCATGGATATCCTGAGAAAGACAGATTATGAAAAACTGCATAATTTGGTACCATTAAAAAAATATATGTTTGTATATCTGGAAGACACTCCCTAAACTTTAACCATTGTTTCTAGTGATGGCATTATGGTAGACTATAAGGTACATTTCAGTTCCCATTTTATACTTTTCTCTCTTGAGTCTCTATTGTTTGTAATGAGCATTTATATTATGAACAAAAAATACTTTTTCCTTTAAAAAATTAAAAGTCATTTTATTCTCAAAGATGCAGAAACTAAATAAAATTGGTTCAGTTTTTAGGGTGCCAAGGTCAACTGCTAAAATTTAGGAAGTGAAGTTTTTTAGTTTTTTGGTGAGTTGGAAGTATTTACCAAATGTGACCTTTTCAAAAAGCTTGCATAGGATTCATTCAGCAGTATTTTCCAGTTTGAACAACAGGAAATTTAATAATATTTTAATTAAGATTTTTTCTCAAGAGCTTCAAGGAGGCCTTATGTAGGTCCTTATTTCACAGATGTATTAACTATGCATAGGCAAAGTAGCCCAAATTCATCATTTCTAAGGTTTGTGAAGATGAAGTATCATAAAGCCTTTCATTTAAGTGCATCAGAGAGTAAACTCAAGCATTGTCATAGAGGATGTGTGAAAAAATAAAAATGATTACCAATGTCTTATATTTCACATTTAGATCATATTACGTGGTGTATTTTCTAAACATTTCACACTGTTTAAGAAAACAAATAGGTCCTAAATATAATACAAGCCAAGAGAAAAGTTTTCAGTTCCTAATACTTCGTTGACATAAGTAAAAAATACTGGCATAGTTAAAATTTTCACAAGAATTGTGTAAGTGGTAATAAATAGAGTCATCTGAATATTTTAAAATGCTGGTCAGACAGTAGAATGGTGGAGAGTCAGTCTTTTTATTTTACCTACCTTCTAGACTGCATGTAAAGGGTCTTTGGAATGTGACCAGGATAGTCAATTTACAATGACTCTTGGCAGGCAATTACATATTCAAAAGACCTTATTGGGGTTCAGGCTTTAGCAGTACATAACACTAAATCTCTATAAAAAGGTAGGAGAGATTCTGTTTAGTTTTGCAAGGATATTGAGTCACATATGCAAGTATAAAATATCAGATAAAGGAACAGTAAATGTGTTCTATGGTAAAATAGCTCTAATCCAGAAAAATGTCCTTTAAAGAACAAAATAAAATGACTCCTTACCATAAACTTTGGCAGAGAAAACTAATCTAAGATACAAGTTATAGGATGTATATAGCTTAAAGATTTTGGTTTTGATGTCAGAATATATGACTCATCAAGCAATCATGACATAGCTTTGGATAACCTACACAAACAGTAGCAAAGTTCTTACCTTAATTTTTTGTTGGTAAAGATCATCCAGCTTTTGAACTTCTTCTTTCAGAGTTCTCACACTTCTCTTACTTTCTGTTAGCATTGCATTCAACTGGGGAAATAAAACCTTGGTTGAGAAATCATAACTATACATCAAAGTTATTTTAACAAGTTATAGAGTTTTTATATTATCCATCAACTAACCGAAAAATGTTATTTCTTCTAGTCCTTTTGGACTCTCACTTATCATTTGTCCAAAAATTTTATTATTCTCCAAAGAGAAATTAATTTCAAAGAAACCTCAAAGTTAAGGAGGTTAATATCTGTTTTTCCACTAGTTGTTGTGTGAGTGCTTTTTAAACTCTCATATATATTACATATATTATTAATATTGCCATATTACTTTATTCATATATAAATAATTTTTGCCTCTGGATTTGAAATCTAGCTTTATTTAGACTACATCTACTATAGTTATTTAGCTTTTCATTTTTATGTTCATTTTCTAAAATGTTAAAAAAGAATTGTTTGTATTAATTTTATTAGATGTTTGCTATTAGTTATAGTCATGCTTTCCTTCAAAAAGTAATAAGGTAACCACATTTAATCTTGTTAAAGCTTGAACTTTAAGATCAGTTGAAACCAAAACTGAAAGAAAAAAGTGTTTTTCAAGTTCATTTCCTGTTGGCAAGTGCTGATACCAGTTGATGTCAGCAATTAATAGAGAATGTTCTTCAGCTATACCAAGAGGAAACTGTTTCCTGCAGGAAACATAAAATAGTAAAATGTATAATAGCTGACTTTTTTTAAAAAGGATAATTCTACACACATATGAAATTAAAAAAAAATCTAGGGGTTAAAATTTAGTGAAGCTATTGTTATTTGCTAAAACACAGGTTAGTGACACATACAACTAGCATACGCCCAGAACTCAAAACCAGATCTAACACCAAGAACTTTTTCTAAAGGTATGTTTTATCTGCAGTAACTAACAAGTTAAACAAGTTGTTTTAAATTCACCTGTAATAACACCAACAGATACTCAAGCAACCAGAACTTTCACTGATCCTCATGGTTGCTCAAAACCATGTTTACTCATCTCTGAGCAGCTTCCACTTTCCATGTCAGCAGTACTAAAGCTGCATCAATTACTTAAACCTGTTTTTCTGATTCCCAAAGTACACATTTCATATATATATATACACACACACACACACGTACACACACACGTACACACACACACACACACACACACACACACACACCCAGCTCCAGTTACCTACTGGACATTCTCCACTTTGATGCCCCAGAGACCTGAAACTCAGCATATCCCAACCTACAATTCTCTCTTCTATACCCTTCTCTTTTACATTCTCTATCAATCACCACATACCCATTTGCCAAAGATAAGACACCTGGGCATTCTTGATTTCTTTCTTGACCTTCACATACAAATGGACAACCAAACTGTTGCTTCCATCTTTAAATCTCCTTTCTCCATCTTCACTGTAATAGCCTTGCTTTGGGTCCCTACCATTTATTATTCACTGTACAGGATATTGATAGGTCTCTTAATTGCATGGTCTAGTCTCATGTACCTCTAATCTATTCTTCAAAAGGCCAACAGTGTGAAATTACTAAAATAACAATAATTATTGTTATTTCCTTACTTAAAAATCTTCAATGATCTCTACTGCCTATAGAATAAAAAAAATTCAACCAGTAAGCAAGCCCCTTCATAATTAGGTTCTTGTCTCTCCAGGCTTCTCCCTTATCTCACTTACACTCATGGTAATTTATTAATATGCTGTGCTCTTTGTTTTTTCTGTTTGGAGAAGGGGTCTCACTTTGTCACCTAGGTTGGAGTGCAGTGGCACAATCTCAGCTCACTGCAGCCTCCACCTCCAGGGCTCAAGCAATCCTCCCACCTCAGCCTCCAGAGTAGTTGGGACTACAGGTGCACGCCACTACACCCAGCTAATTTTTATATTTTTTTGTAGCGGCCGGGTTTTGCCATGTTGCCCGGCTGGTCTTGACCTCCTGAGCTCAAGCAATCCACCCACCTTGGCCTCCCAAAGTGCTAGGATTACAGGCATGAGCCACCACGCCCGGTCCATGCTGTAGAATGTGTGTGTGCATGCATGTGGATGAGCACGAGCATCCTTTGGTTTATCCATTGGCCAACTCCTACTTTTATTCACAACTCAGCTCAGCTATCACTTCTCTCAGGAGCCTGTACTTAAGTGTATAATGAGAATCCATAGTGCGCTGTATTCACATTACAAAAAGTTATGAGAGAAGAAATTGTTTTCATGCCCATCTTCCCACTTAAAATGAAGTTCACAAAGGCAGATGCCACACTGTACTAGTATCACCATCTATTACGGTACTAGGCACATAAGCACTCAAAAAATATTTGCTGCATAAATTTCAGTTTCAAATATTTAACTTTAACCTTTATTTACATTCATATTCACAAGTGTGATTAGATTAATTTCTTCTTTTTGTGATCTCTTTGTCATGTTGTGGCATGAGGCCTACATGAATTCGGTCTCTTTATGCTCTATGATAATTTACATGTCACAGAAATCAGTCAGTCTTCAGTATTTGAAAACACTGACCTGTGAAATTATCTATTATTGGAGTCTTTTGAAGAGCAATTTTTTTTTTTTTTACTTTAGTTTCTGGTTACTTACATATTTGGCTTTCTTGGGATTTCTATTGTTCAGGTTATAATCCATTTCATCAAAAAATTTTAAATATAAATTTCTGTTTATACTATATTACTTCATAATTCAAATAGATTTCCACCATTGCTATAAGCCATTTCTCATTTTATATTTTCCTGCTTTTTCTTAAATGGTTTTGGCAATTATTTTAAAATACTTTTCAGGTTACATGTTTCGTTACTCTAATTTATTAATTTCTCTATAACCTTTATTATTTCCAGTTGCGTTTTACCCCATCCCACCTTAACTTGGTTAAACTATTTGTCCAATAGGAAAAACAATTTTAGTTGTTAGTCTCTGTATGACATTACTGATCTCTCCCTTCTTGAAAAGTTTTCCCTACTTTGGCTTATATATATTACATATACATATAAGCGTATTCTCTTCTGTTGTTTTCCAACTAACTTTGTCTACTTTTTCTAAGAGTTTTTCCCAGAATTTCCTTCCTTTGCCAGTCTCTTAAATGTTGTTACTGTTTAGGATTCAATCCTCTGTCACTTTCCCCTCCACATTCACCCACATATATGGCTTCAACTATTACATATGCTCTAATGACCCTCAAATCTGTATTTTCAGCCCTGATCTCCTTCTTACACTCTGAATCTATAGCTTCTGCTTCCTCCTGGATATCCCACAGACAGCAAGCTCATCATCTCCAACACTGTCCCCACCACACCCTGCTCTCAGTTTTCCTCCTCTAGGTTAATAGCACTATGATCCACTCAGTTGCCCACATCAAAAATATGGAAGTCATGTTGATATTTCTTTCTCCTCAAGCTTGCACATTCAGCCACAAAATCCTTGGGTTCTACCTCCTTAACATTTCCTAAACCTGTTTCCTTCCCTCTAGTTCTGCTATACATTGGTTTAAGTCTCCCAACATTTTCAGGAAAGAAATCAAGAACGCCCAGGTGTCTTATCTTTGGCAGATGGGTATGTGCATCCCCTCTAAGCTATGTTTTCCTGTAGCCCAAAGGGTTTTGTAAACCTAAAAATTGGATGAGCATAACCGTACCTATGTCAGCCATTTTCTCTAAATGGGAGTGCCTGAAGGATGTATTTATCTTTAGGACACTAACATGGGGCCTAGTCTATAGTAGGCATTTTATAACTTCCCCCCATCTATAGCCTTTAAAAACTTCAAGTCAGTTTGAAAGATGTTTTGGACATGAAGTTCCTGTTGTTTGGAATTCATACCTTTTGAGAATCTCCAGGTTTTAGCACCCATTCCAACAAAAACCAGAAATCAAAATGAAGCAGGCTAAAGGAAGACTTCACTGCAAATCATCATCATTCCCAGGGAGCAGTCCAAATTCCTCATCTTTTCTCCATAGATATTTTAGAAACCTCAAATTACAGTCATAGTATAAGGTGATGAAACTCTTCACTTACCTAATGTTATAAATTTTTCTATTTTTCTGAGAATGTAAAAATTCTAATACAAACGAAGTCTTGATAGAATTTATTAACATTGGAAAAATGTCTTTTTGTGAGTTGCCAGCATAATTATTTGTGAAATGCTATAGGTTTTGTTTCCAGATGAGAAAAATAAATAAACTTCTCTTCTGAGAAAACGTAAAATTTCATTTTATATCTTGAAGTCTATTAGCCAGATCATAGTAGTTCCTGAAGAGCTGAATTAACAAGGGGTTTCCTTTAACTGCTTGGTGTCTTATAAATGAAACCCCTTGTGTGTGCATTTGAGAAGTAGCTTAAATTTTCTTAACTAACAACGTTTACTTTAAAGGTTACTAAATACAATAATAGAATTTTCCTTTTCAGGGACATAGGTGATATTCAGGATCTCAGAAGCAGAGACTACCTGAAATTCACTTTTGGAAATAGACTTCGAAAGGAATTTGAGTTCTCCTGAAATTCCATGATCCAAAATGCAAAAACTTGGTAAAAAGAAACCTCTTAATCTATCACAGCTAATTAGCCTCTAACCCCGTAATTATACTTGCCTACTTTCAAGGTAGCCACCTGAAACCTCTTTTAGTATAAAAATACTAAATTATCTCAAGTTAGAGGCCCTTCTCTATTAAAAAAAGGAAAATTTACTTAGTTCCATCTCACTCCATCATATGTGATATGTGAAGGCTAGGATGTTTAAATGTCTTAATAAATTACTTCAAATATTTCTGTCGAGGGTATACCCAATTCTCATTTTTTCATAGTTTTATTAAAAAATTATTTCCTTAGCAATCAGAAACCACAAATAACATTTAATTTTAGGTTTTAAAATCTAATTTTTGCTTTTTATGACTTTTTATGTTTTATTACTTACTTGTTCTAAAGTATCCTCCAAACCCATTTTTTTATTTCGAGCTTTATTAATTTCTTCTTCAGTTTCGTTCAGGAGTTCCTTAAGAGGTACCTATAAAATACATAGGAATGTGGGTGACATATAACATTTAATTACAAAATATCTGTCCTGAGGCATCCACACACTGTGATAGGAGGAGTCACTTTTGGAGAAAAAGTGAACCTATAACATTTAAAATCTAATATACTGTCAAATAGAAAACAAAGCTAGTTTTTAATCAAATTTCTGTTAAGTGTAGACTATAACCTGCTTTTGTTTTGAATACTTGCAAAATTCAAGATTTGCCAGATTTTGCCCACCCCCTATCTCAGGAAATTTCACTGTTGTATTTATCTTAAACATATTTACAAGTACCCACTTAGTTTACTGCCATATTTTTTTTGACAACGAAATTTATCAATAAGGTTGTAATTTT